AATCATGGGTAATGCTTTCTGACATGATACCGATATAACACCATCAGATAACAACAGCCCCCTGACTAGGTGGCTCAGTGGCTAAGACACTGAGCTTGTCAATGAGAAAGGTCAGAAGTTCGGCGGTTCGAATCCCTAGTATAGATCTCCTGCATGAGCAGGGGGTTGGGTTAGATGACCTCCGAGGTCCCTTCCAACTCTGTTACTGTTCATTAGCTTATCCCAGGTACCTCGAGTCGGTGGAAGAAATTGGCAGATTTCATCTACATGAAACATCTGGCTGTGTGACCAGTCATCTAAACATCTGGCTGTGTGACCAGTCATCATCAACATGACAATATGTTCTGTCCCCGTTCCACTCACTCACCCCCACAGACGGCCCGGAGTTAATAAGCTACACGACAAAATTCTTTGAAAATAAAGCTGGCAGCAACCCAGTGGCTAGCTGCCAATTTAGACTTTACTCACACAAAACAAAGATTAGACTGCCAGCATTCCGATAAAACAGGCAGAGTTTTCAACAATACAAGGATTAATCCAAATGCAGTCCGATAAAGCAGGCAAAGTCCAATAACGCAGAGATCATGGATTATTTACAGTTTTTGCTCATCACAAACTGAACCGGCCACCACACCCACATTTATACCCTGTGGGGTGTGGTCCAGTGACTCAGCTAATCTCTGGCACGCCTTCCCCTCTGCTGCGCACGCTTCTCTCTGCGCCTCTGCCGAGGGTCCAGCCAGCACTTATCTTCTTCGCCACTGTCCACCTGTGGCTGCGGGGACGTGCTTGGCTCGGAGCCTATCTTTTGGCCTTTGGTGTCCTCCGGAGGCATTGCCAGAGAGGAGGGTCCTGGAGAGGGAGGCCTTGCCAACTCCTCCCCCCCACTCTCAGAGTCTGCATCTGTCGATAGCCCAGGCTCAGGCAATGGAGCCACAACAGAATCTCTGCCTCTGGCACCACATCTTCTTCAGCCTCCTCGCTGTCCGACTCGAGCACCGGCTGCACAGGCTGCTGGCGCGATACCACAACAGCCTCCTCGTCGTCGGGATCAGCCACAATCCACGCAGGCCACTGGCGGGCCACAACACTTCTTGGATGAGAAGCAAAACGTCTTCAAAAGAAAAAAACAACAAACTCCAGGTGCCTCCTGAAAAAGCACCTTTGGGACAAGCTGTGATGATGAGTTTCGATCAAGTCATCATCTCTCTGCTGTACCTCACAGTGTTATGAGGGAGAAAAATGAGGGCAGGGAAGGCTTTTATGCAATGCCTTAACCTCCCGGAGGAAATGCGGCACATCAGTCTAACTATCCAATAAATGAAGCCCTTTGAAAAAAAAAGCCTTTCTTGTTTTAAAACCTAAAAAAAATATATATGTATATATATTGTTCCTTGTAGATTTGCCTCAGACAAAAATGCGAAAACCATGGAAATCTGAATTATGATTGTAACTCTGCGAAGAAATGCTCAGGACATGGGGTAAGTCAAAAAGGGAAAAAAAAGATTTCCCATGAATTTTATTTATTTATTTTTTTAAAAAGGGGGAGTTTCTTTCTTTCTTGGGCCAGAAGAGGAGAGGAAAGCATCTTGGTTGTGAAAAAGCCAATTTGGAGTTGGAGACCAGGTTGGCCTAGTTAGTGCATAGGTTCCATGGCCTAGTGCGATGTTTGTCATCCTTGGGCATGAGGATGCTGCTGTGACTGCAAGTGTGAAAACCAGTCATAAGTCAAAAATAGTCATTTTTCAATGCTATTGTATCTTTGACTGGTCACTAAAGGAATAGTTGCAAGTTGAGGAATTCTATTCCACTCCACTCCGTTCCATTTTCTTTCCATTCTTCTTTCCATTGTTATGTTGTGTTGTGTTGTGTTGTGATGTGATGTGATGTGATCTGATGTGATGTGATGTTATGATCCAATTTGTTCCATTCCATTCCTCTCCATTCCCTATTCTATTCCAGTCCATATTCTATTCTGTTCTGTTCTGTTCCATTCTTTCCATTCCATATTTTATTTCATTTCATATTCTATTCTGTTCTGTTCTGTTCTGTTCTGTTCTGTTCCATTCCATATTCTATTTCATTCCATATTCTATTCGGTTCTGTTCTGTTCCATATTCTATTTCATTCCATATTCTTTTTGGTTCTGTTCTGTTCCGTTCTTTCCATTCCATATTCTATTTCATTCCATATTCTATTCTGTTCTGTTCTTTCCATTCCATATTCTATTCTGTTCTGTTCTGTTCTTTCCATTCCATATTCTATTTCATTCCATATTCTATTCTTTTCTGCTCTGCTCTGTTCTGTTCTGTTCTGTTCTTTCCATTCCATATTCTGTTCTGTTCTGTTCTTTCCATTCCATATTCTATTTCATTCCATATTCTGTTCTGTTCTGTTCTGTTCTGTTCCTTTCCTTTCCTTTCCTTTCCTTTCCTTTCCTTTCCTTTCCTTTTCCTTTCCTTTCCTTTCCTTTCCTTTATTCTATTTCATTCCATATTCTATTCTGTTCTGTTCTGTACTGTTCTTTCCATTCCACATTCTATTTCATTCCATATTCTATTCTGTTCTGTTCTGTACTGTTCTTTCCATTCCATATTCTATTTCATTCCATATTCTATTCTGTTCTGTTCTGTTTCTTTTCATTCCATATTGTATTTCATTCCATATTCTATTCTGTTCTGTTCTGATCTGGTTCATTCCATTCCATATTCTATTTCATTCCATATTCTATTCGGTTCTGTTCTGTTCCATATTCTATTTCATTCCATATTCTATTTCATTCCATATTCTATTCGGTTCTGTTCCATTCTGTTCCGTTCTGTTCCTTTCCATTCCATATTCTATTTCATTCCATATTCTATTCGGTTCTGATCTGGTTCATTCCGTTCCATTCCATTCCGTTCTGTTCTGTTCTGTTCCGTTCCATTCTTTTCTGTTCCCTTCCATTCCACTCGCCAAAAGCATCCTCCCATTTGGAAACACTCGACCGCAAGATTTAAATCCATTCAGGTTTTCTCTGATCGATTTTTTCAGGTATGTAATAACAAAAGAAATTGCCACTGCGACCCAGGCTGGGCTCCTCCAGACTGTCGGATAAAAGGAAGCCCGATGGGAGGAAGTATTGACAGCGGACTTCGCTATCTGGATCTGGGTCAGTCAGTTGTATCCTACAGGGACGTTCTCCGGCCAAACCAATCAATCAATCCAGCCCTTTGAATGAGCAGAGGCCGGCCACCTTCTTTCTTTTAAATTTATGACCCCAGGACACTTCAAACATCATATATATATATATATGTGTGTGTGTGTGTGTGTTTTCTGAGGTTTTCGCGGGTGTTTGTATGTAGGTCTTTGGTTATTCGGGTTTTCTCCCGCGTAAAATTGGAGGTGTCTTGGCAACGTTTCGACGAAGTTTCATTCGTCATCTTCAGGCTGGTGTTCTCGGCTTCGTGCTTCTAGGAGCAATGTCATTGAGCCGATCAGGATCGAACTGCTGGCTGTTGGCAGAATTATCCTGCAATACTGCATTCTAACCACTGAGAGAGAGGGAGGGAGGGAAGGAAGGGAGAAAGGAAGGAAAATAGCAATAGCACTTAGATTTATATACCGCTTCACAGTACTTTAGAGACCTCTCTAAGTGGTTTACAATGTCAGTGCTCTTGTCCCCCAACAATCTGGGTCCTCATTTTACCGACCTTGGGAGGATGAAAGGCTGAGTCAACCTTGAGCCAGTCAGAATCAAACTCCTGGCTGTGGGCAGAGTCAGCCTGCAATGCTGCATTCCAAACACTGTGCAGAATGGATGGATGGATGGATGGATGGATGGAAGGAAGGAAGGAAGGAAGGAAGGAAGGAAGGAAGGAAAGGTAATAGCCTTTAGACTTATATACCGCTTCACAGTGCTCTAAAGCCCTTTCTAAGCGGTCGACAGAGTTGGCCGCTTGCCCCCAACGATCTGGGTCCTCATTTTACCCACCTCGGAAGGACGGAAGGCTGTTCCCTCCCTCTCTGTGGAGAAAAGGCCATTCAATTTTGACGCGGATGACCTCTTCCTATCTAGATCTTGCAAAAAAGGCCAGAGAAGACACCATGAGGACGTGGATCCTGCTTAGCATTTTCCTGTTCCTGCCCATTATTATTGGAAGCAGCCTTCTGGCTGTTAAATGGAAACGTATCAAAAAATCTTGCTTCGAAGATGATGAACTGGATGAGGATTCCGAGTAAGTTGCTTTGAACGGGATGGACCCGCAAAGTTGGGTCACCTATACCAACCAAGACTCTCTTAAATCATCTTGACTACTGTTGCTTTCCAGGTCTTTTTCTAGATCAGAAGAGAGTAACACATCGGAAAAAACAAGGTAAGCCTCTAGAAAGCTGAGGTGGGCAACCTCCTGCAATCTAGAACCTGGTTTTTGCCTCTGGCAAAGATGAGTTTATTTTGTAAGACCAACGGCTGCTGTAGGCAAAGCCCTTTTTTTCTTGCTGTTCCATTTTAATTCTAAAAAGACAGAAATGAAGGACTTGTTGTGGCCTGCCAGCGGCCAGTGGATCTGGCAGCAGATTCGGACAATGAGGAGGTTGGGGAGGAACATGGAGTCTGGGGAAGGCTCGGACGAGGGTTCTGCATCGGAGGCAGAGATGGGGCCAGGGTCGTCTGGCAGTTGTCAGATGCCTTCGGAGTCGGACATCAGTGAGGTAGAAGAACAGCTGGAGCCTGTTCCCAGTGTGCGTTGCCAGGAGAAGGGAACAAGCTAAGGAACAAGGGTCGACTCAGGAGTAAAGCCACAGGTGGATGGTGAATGGCCCCTCCCAGAGGGAATAGAGAGGAGCAAAGCGGAAAGGAGTTTGCAGGAGACAATTAGTTCATTCGAGTGAAGATCTGTTCCTGCATTCTTGCCAAGTATTGTCAGTTACAGTGTGCAGTCTGAAAGATATCGGCCTGGCCACTCTCCAAGCCTGATAAAAGTTGGTAATTGTGAATTGTAACCCTATCTCGAAACATTGTGGGAGAGGACTGTTGTGACCTAGGCCCAAGTAGTTATTACCAGACACAATCAGTGCTAAACAAACATATTTTATTAGAACAGCTGAGAATTACTTCATTCTCAGCTTAGTTCAAATTAAGTCCAAAACAAATTCTTCATGAACAGTCCTTCAGCCTTATCACCAACCTTTGTCTTCTTTGGCACCCTGCCAAAGGCCTTTCTTGGCAAAGCCCCATGACCTTCAGAAACAAGAGACGCCGACAAGAAACAAATGTAGCAACGTTGCTTTCCTACAAAGATCCCAAGAGCCGTTGCTGCTCTTTTAAGCCTTCTGGGAGGGGCCAATCATCTCATGGCCTTACTCCTGAGTCGTCCCTTTTGCTTTAGCCGCTCTTGCCTTCTGGCAGCTCTTTGAATGCGTGCACTAGGAACAGGCTCCTCCTGTTCCTCTGCCTCTCTACTATCTGCCTCTGGAGGCTCCGGAGTATGCGTATCTCTCCGAGATGGCCCTGGCCCCAACTCTGCCTCTGACGCAGAGCCCTCGTCCGGGCCTTCCCCAGACTCCAGGACTGGCCCATGTTCCTCCCCAGCCTCCTCACTGTCCGACTCTGCTGCTAGCTCCGCAGGCTGCTGCGGACTACAACAAAGACTTTGCTGGAGAGGAATTCACTGTAAATTAAATAAAAGGGGTTTATCGGGAGGAGGACTCAGCTTTGTGCTGCAGGGGAAGCTTAGGTCAGAACAGGATTGCAAAATCCAGATGTGTGGATGGCAAATGTCCCTGGACCTTCTCCACCCCTTCTGGTAGAATTGGTATCATAAGGGAGCTTTTTTCGATCAGCCTAAGAAAGGGATGTGTTTCCCTCTCCCGCCTCACCTTATTTTCAAAACAACAAAGCAAACACTTGTTGGATGGGTAATTCTCATAATATTCTTTAAGACTTATCTATTCCTTTTAAGTTTCAGCTAAACAGATCTGATGTGAGCGGAGGAAAATTACACAGCGGCTTTCCACGGAAGAAAAGAGGACGCAAGATCACTGCACATTTATGTATATGCCATCTAATAAATCACGGTTTAAAGCACGAACGATTGACTTTCTAGTATGGATGTGGGAGTGGTGCGGTGGCCTAGAGGTGGAGCTCTCGCCTCACAATCGGGAGGCTGTGAGTTCGATCCTAAGTAGCGGCAGATATTTCTCTCTCTGGGCACAGTGAGAATATATCTGCTGAAAAAAAAACTCTGCATTGGCGACAGGAAAGGCATCCGGCCAGTAAACACTCGGTGTCCAGAGCAATGGACATGGTATAATTCCGTTCAGTTGCTCAGACTCCACCCCGCAAGGGATTATGAGATGTGGGCAACACCTCAATTATTTTTGGGTCAACTTTTTTTAAAAATTTTTTATTTTTTAAACATAACAAAACATAAAAACAACCATCATTCAATACAATCACAGAAAGTGTGTCGATCGGTTAAGATTCTTTTGTGCTTAATCTCAAATCCAGGATTACAAATCTTTTAATTTCTCTTATTTGACAATTTTATATATTCCTTTATATTATTATTCTCATTTAGCAATTATTTAACAAAGGCTTATCTCCCATAAGAAAACACTACATATATTTTATCCTTAATTTCATATTTCATATTTCATCTCCATGTTTTATTATCTAGCCATTGATAAAACAAATCCTATATCAAATAGTATTCTTTATCCTCTTGTTCTCTGATTTCAAATGTCAATTTACTCATTTCAGCACATCCCATAATTTTCTTAACAACTTCATCCACAATAGGTATTTTCTCTTTTTTCCAATTTTTAGCAAATACAATTCTAGCCGCTGTTAAAACATTCACAATTTAATATCTCAATTCTTTGAGTCAACTTTTTGAGCAGCTTTAAAAGCCCGCAGTGCGAGCGGTGCGGTGGCCTACAGGTGGAGCTCTCACCTTACAATCGGGATCCTAGTTCAATCCTAGGTAGAGGCAGATATTTCTCTCTCTGGGCACACTGGGAATATATCTGCTGAAAAAAAACCTCCGCATTGGCGACAGGAAAGGCATCCGGCCAGTAAATACTCAGCTCCATTCAGTTGCCCAGACTCCACCCCGCAAGGGATGATGAGGTTATTAAAAGAGGATGATGATAAAAGCCCACAATGCCAAAAGTGTGCAAGCATATTGCATGTGTCTTTTTGCAGTTAAAGAGTTGTCCTTTTGCTGTCTCCGAGTAAATCTCCTGTGTTCTTCACGATCCTTCTTTTGCTTCAGGAAAGACACCTGAAAGTACAGGTAGTTCTCGACTTGCAACTCATTTAGTGACCGTTCAAAGTTAAAAACGGCACCGAAAAAGCGACGCACGAACGTTTTTCACACTTACGGCCATTGCAGTATCCCCTGGTCACGTGATTAAAATTCAGATGCCTGGCAACTGACTCGGACTTACGACCATTGCTGTCCCCCCCCCCCAAGGTCATGCGATCCCCTTTTGTGACCTTTTGGCAAGGAAAATCAACGGGGAAGCCAGATTCACTTAACAACCATGTTACTAACTCATCAACGGCAAGTGATTCGCTTAAGAATTGGGGCAAGAAAGGAGAAAAACTCACTTAACAACTGTTTCACGTAGCCGCAGAAATTTTGGGCTTGAAAGGTCAGAAGGTCGCATAAGGGGAACACGTGATCCAGGACACTGCGACGGTCATAAATATGAGTCACCCTCAGTGACCGCGTGGCTGCTGTAATGGTTGTAAGTGTGAAAAACAGTCGTAAGTCACTTTTTTTCCGGTGCCACTGTAATTTCCCAAGGTCACTAAATGAACCGTTGTAAGTCGAGGACAACCTGTATGGCCATTGATGGGAATGACCATGATATGTGATCAACGCATTCCAAAATCCCCGCAAAATCCAGGACCAAGAGTACCTTAAATCTACTCAAAGGTGCTTTTTCAAAAGCCAACTTGCTTTTGAAAGTGGAAGTGGAGGAGGAAGGGGAGAAGAATGGGGGAAGAGGGAGAGGGAGGAGGAGGAGGAGGAGAAAAGGAAGGAAGGTGCTCTCTGAGCTTGGCTGTTTTCTTGCAAACATTTCATGACTCAACTAGGTAACATCAAAGTATGAAGGCTATTGCTTAACGCATTGTAAGCCGCCCTGAGTCTCCGGAGAAGGGCGGCATATAAATCAAATTAAAAAAAAAAAAAAATCATCAGGGCTAGAAGAGAGTGGGGTTTGTGGAGAAGAAGGGGAGGAGGAGGAGAGGAGGAGGAAGGGGGAGGAAGGAGGAGAAGGAAGACAGGAGGAGAAAAAGTAGAGGAGGAAGAGGGAGTAGGAGAAGAAGAAAAGGAAGGAGGAAAGGAGGGGGAGGAAGGAAGAAGGAGGGGGAGGAGAAGGAAAAAGGAGGAGAAGGAAAAGGAGAGGAGGAGGAAGGAGGAGGAGGAAGAGGGAGAAGGAGGAGAAGAAAAGGAAGGAGGAGGAGAGGGGAGAGGAAGGAGGAGAAGGAGAAGGAAAAAGGAGGAGGAGGAAAAGAAGAGGAGGGGGAAGGGGGAGGAAGGAGGAGAAGGAAAAGGAGAGGAGGAAGAGGGAGAAGGAGGAGAAGAAAAGGAAGGGAAAAGGAGAGGAGGAGGAAGGGGGAGGAAGGAGGAGGAGGAAAAGGAGAGGAGGAAGAGGGAGAAGGAGGAGAAGAAAAAGAAGGAAAAGGAGAGGAGGAGGAAGGAGGAGAAGGAGAAGGAAAAAGGAGGAGGAGGAAAAGGAGAGGAGGAAGGAGGAGGAGGAAAAGGAGAGGAGGAAGAGGGAGGAGGAGGAAAAGAAAAGGAAGTAGGAGGAGAGGAGGAGGAAGGAGGAGAAGGAGGAGAAGAAAAGGAAGGAGGAGGAGAGGAGGGGGAGGAAGCAGGGGGAAGAGAAGAAGGAAAAAGGAGGAGGAAGAAAAGGAGAGGATGAGGAAGGAGGAGAAGGAGGAGAAGAAAAGGAAGGAGGAGAGGAAGGGAGAAGAAGCAGGAGGAAGAGAAAAAGAAGGAAAAAGGAGGAGGAAAAGGAGAGGAGGAAGAGGGAGAAGAAAAGGAGGGAGGAGGAGAGGGGAGAGGAAGGAGGGGGAGGAGAAGGAGAAGGAGAAGGAAAAAGGAGAAGGAAAAGGAGAGGAGGAAGAGGGAGAAGGAGGAAAAGAAAAGGGAGGAGGAGGAGAGGAGGGGAGAGGAAGGAAAGGAAAAAGGAGGAAGAAAAGGAGAGGAGGAAGGAGGAGAAGAAAAGGAAGGAGAGGAGGGGGGAGGAAGCAGGAGGAAGAGAAGAAGAAGGAAAAAGGATCAGGAAGAAAAGGAGAAGGAGGAGGAGGAGGAGGAAGGAAGGGGTAAAATGCGGACCCCAGATTGTCGGGGGGCAACAGGCTGACCCCGTCAACCGCTTGGAGAGCGCCCTAAAGCGGCATCCAAGTCTTCGGGGCTGTTGCTTCTTGCAACCGCGCGCCTTTCGCGGACCGCTTCTCGGTTCGGAGCGGCCCGAACGCGGCCGTGGAACCTCCAGGCGCGGAGCGAAGCGTCTCCGGGCGCGTGGAAGGCTTCCGCCGCGCCCGTTAGCGGTTGCCCGTGGCCGCCGGCGCCGCCTGCCCGGCCGCCCGCCATGGCTCTGCTAGCGCTGCTGCCCTTGGCCCTCCTGGCCGCCGCCGCCTCCCTCGTGGCCCCGCAGGGTGAGTCCGCTGCGCCCGGCGGTGGGCAGAAACCTGGGTTTCCCTGGTTTAAGAGGCGGGGGTGAGGGGGGGGAGGAGAGGGGGGTTAGGACCCTAGTAACCTCACAGAGGTTATTGTGGTGGTGGTGGTGGGGGCTCATCAGCATCTTCTGATGGGGACAGGGATGATGGCACCCTTGAGATGAGGATGCAGCGAGCTTGAACTGCTGGGGAGAAAACCGCTACCTTTCTCCTCCTCTCCCTCCCTCCCTTCCATATCCAAAATTATGTATATGTGGGTATATACATAATTTTTTATCTCTCTCTCTCTCTCTCTCTCTCTCTTCTCTCATCTCTCATTAT